ACATAATCAAAACTCTTTTAAAATTATATTTAGCATATAGCATACATATTAAGAATTATAGGAAATGATTTTTCCCCCATTTATACTGTGAACACACAAATTGCAGCTTATGAACAAAATATAATTTCCTGGAACTCTTGCCTTCAATCATGTGAAGAACTCCTAAGGGGAAATGTAAGTCCAACAGAGCTTTAATTTCCCCATATTTAATATTCTCTTAAGGAGCCTTTCAAAAGGAAAAATAACATGGGGCACCTGGGGGGTTCAGTCAGTTAAGCATCCAACTTCAGCTCACGTCATGATCTAGCGGTTCATGGGTTCAAGCCCCGTGTTGGGCTCTGTGCTGACAGCTCAGAGGTTGAAGCCTGTTTCAGATTCTGTGTCTGCCTCTCTCTCTGACTCTCCCTTGCTCGCTTGCTCTCTCTCAGAAATAAATAAAAACATTAAAAAAAGGAAAAATAACAAAAATATACAGTATAAGTAATTCACTCAGGATATTACAGACTATAAAACATTAAAATATATATCTTATTATCCACAGGAAAGTCAAGGGCATCAGCCAACTGACCTGATAATCCAATAAACTATGTAGGAATTTTCTCCCTTGATATGAGTTTTGGGTAAACTGCGTGCTGGAGCTGCAGGGTCACAAATACACTTGGTAGAAAGCCATTCAAGGAATGCTGGCACTTGGGCACGTCTAGAGAGAAAGCTATCATGTTGACAGGTTTAGGCTTAAAAGGGAGGCTTTTTATGAGAGATTATAAGAATTGATTCCACTAACAGATTCAGAACAGTTTATGAGCTTGTATACGTAACAGCAACCTTCCCCCTCCCCCTTCTTTTAATCACAGAGTTAGATTTCAATGGAGATCCCACATCAAGGAGTTTTCAGAGGAATCTTGAACAACTCTTTGGGCAATAATAGTTTGGAGTTTCTTATTTCTTTCTTCTAGAAGGGCTAATATTTTTGAGTATTTGAAGGACAACATTGTAACATAAGAGATCAGAATTCTAAAATTTTTGTATTGAACTAGGTACACACTCATCCAGAGAGAATTCTTTTAATTTTTTAAAATTTTTATTTATTTTTGAGAAAGAGACAGAATGTGAGGAGGGGCAGAGAGAAACACACACACACACACACACACACACACACACACACACATACACACAGAATCTGAAGCAGGCTTCGAGCTGTCAGCACAGAGCCCAAAGTGGGGCTCGGATCCACAAACCATGAGATTACGACCTGAACTAAGTCAGATGCTTAACCAACTGAGCCACCCAGGCACCCAATAAGTCTTCTTTTAAAATAAAGAATCCAGTAAATATAATTTGACAATACACAAGGAAGTGCATTAGTGGCTGGAATAAGTTTCAAAGGTAGAAAGACTTTGCCCTCAAAAGACCTCCCATTCTAAATGAAAGAGAGGAATGAGTATGCATATGTAGGTATGCCTATATTTACATAGACACATATATTATACATTACATACACAAAAGTTGTATGTATGTTTATATAAGTACATATATATATTTATGAATCATATGTTAGGCTCAGTCTGACATATACAGAATTTTCCTCTTGCCTAGGTACCTAAGATATGTGCTTCTCTTACTGATAAAATTTGGTTATTATTTTTAAGCTCTTATGTGAATAGAGGTGGAAGTAAAACCTGGTTCTAAAAACCTGGGAAAATAAACCCAAACCTGAAAAACAACTGGCAAGTATACAAATAACTTAAGGTCAGTAGTAAAAATGAACATTATAAAAAAGCCTTAGTGGGTATACCTCTAACTGGATCATACTTCCACAAATAGTGATCTTTCTAAAGAAGGCTTGCCATAGATAATAGAAGTTGGAGAATATTTCCTCAATAATGAAAATTCCTGTCAACCCAATTTATTTTCAGATGAGTTAAGAAAGAATGGCTAACTTCAAAAAGATGTCTATATATTATATAATATACGTGCACGCATACATATACATATACGGGGTGCTATCATATTTAAGAGTAAATATATAATAAAGTCAGCAAGATCATTTTCCACAAATCTACTTACAGGTAAAAGTGTGCTTGCTTAGAAAAGGAATTGCTCTGAGGAGAATTTTTTCTACATTTAGAATTTTTTTTATAACAATATTTTCCCTTCCTGTTCACAGACTAACAAGTGAGAGATAAGGCATATTACTTATTGCCCCAATCAATTAACTTATGTTAAAATATAAAGTACTGATTAGGGTGAACTTTTTCAATTTGAGTTGAATTAAGCCACACACATGCTAAGTATCTGAAACCTCTTTATAGCAGCATATAATCCACACTATATTTGATTTCTTGTCATTCAACTTCAAGATTCATTTCTGAGTGTAACAAACGAATGTCTTCGAAATGCTCCAATTCCCTTCTTGAACTTAAGAGTTAGACACAACTCTTGCAGACAGGCCCATGTTTACTCAATTTTTGCTTACAGAATTTTTCTAAATTATTCTTAAAGTTGGGCTTTTTATTTTTAAAAATATTTATTTATTTATTCTTTATATTTAGAGAGAGAGTGAGAAGGACCCAGAGAGGAAAAGGGAGAGGATCTCAAGCAGGCTCTGTGCTGTTAGTGCAGAGCCCCACATAGGGCTCGACCTCACCAACCATGAAATCAGGATCTATGTGGAAACCAAGAGTTGGATGCTTAATTGAGCCACCTAGGCACCCTGGGTTTATTTATTTAGTTGTTTTTTTGTTTGTTTTTCGCTTGTACTACTTCTTAAAGTTATATATGTCAATTAAGCATTCTGAACCAGTTTCCCTTAAGTCACAACAGGTTTACAAGTACCTTTAACTTACTTTATTCATACTCTCAATTTTGATAGACACACTTCTACACGGTTGCCTTTACATAATGAAAACAGTTTTAAAGTCTGCATTCCAATGAAGTTCCTTTAATCCCTTGATAATTTCCTAGTTTATGAAATTAGCATATTAAAATTAGCGTGTAACACTAGTGTTATAAAGGCTTAGCTTTCATAGATAGTTTTGAGAGAGAATAAGAATTGCTATACATTTTTTACAGCATTATAAATGCCTGGAAAATCCCCTAGGGAGGGTCACATAGTCCTCATATATAAAACTCACTTGAAAATTTTCCTTGTAATCATAAACTTGTATTATACCTTTCTTTGTACTAAAGTAAGTCTTATCTCCTCACACCATCTCTGCTGTGATTATTTCCCTCCTGCTTTTATTGCTTATATCCTAATCTTCCCTTCACCAAACTACTATTCTTGTGGAGTTTTTGGGTTTTTTGTTTGTTTTGTTTTTGTAACCTCTATGTTGATTTTATAATCTTCTGCTTTGTCTTCCTCAGTAGGTTTGCATTAGCTTTGAGAGAAGAAACTGTAGTCTCTATTTTACGATAAACTTTAAAAAACAAAGCTAGAATGCTGTCATCTTAGAACATAACTATTTTTTGGTGGAATGGGAATTTTTCACTTTTCAGTGAGTTATGGGGTCTTTTAGCAAAACTTAGAAAAAATAGCTACAGGGGCACCTGGATGGCTCAGTCGGTTAAGTGTCCAACTTTGGCCAAGGTCATCATCTCAAGGTCCGTGAGTTCAAGCCCTGAGTCAGGCTCTGTGCTGACAGCTCAGAGCCTGGAGCCTGCTTCAGATTCTGTGTTTCTCTCTCTCTCTTCCCCTCCTCTGCTCACTCCCTGTCTCTGTTTCTCAAAATAAAATAAAGACATAAAAAATTTTTAAAAAAAAGAAAAAATAGCTACAGATATTGGCCTCAAATTGACAAATGGCATGTTTTCATATGTATACTATTCAAATTAAGAATATAGAGATTTCCTTTCTATTAAACAACCTGTAAGAAAAATCTAATTGAAAGGGGATTCATAGGGCAGATTAATAGAATTAATAATATAAACCTATGTAGCTATTCTGTTAAAATACATACAAGATCACCAAGGATCTAACTACACATATAAGATACCTTTTACCAGTTTAAGAATAAAGAATTTTTGGGGTGACTGAGTGTCTCAGTCGGTTGAGCATCCAACTTTGGCTCAGGTCATGATCTCAAGGTTCATGGGTTTGAGCCCCATGTCAGGCTCTATGCTGAATATGTGCTCAGAGCCTGGAGACAGTTTTGGATTCTGTGTCTCCTTCTCTCTCTGCCCCTTCCCCGCCAGGCTCTGTCTTACTCTGTCTCTCAAAAGTAAATAAATGTAAAAAAATTAAAAAAAAAGAATAAAGAATTTTCAACTGTCATCATCTTGTGCTCCAGCTATTCAACTGATTGAAAAGCTATGTATCAGTCTTAATCTAATAACCATTATGCAATAATGGGAGAAATCTGAGGTCTTTATTAGAATTCTAAACTAAATCTTAGACTCTTACCTGAATAAAGCCAACTAACATACTCTAATCAACTTTGCTTAGGATGGCAATTTTATTACATGTCCATTGGAAGGGAATCTTTTCGGATTCCATTTACGAAAATAGCTTTGACTTTTTGGAAAATAGAGAAATAGCTCAGAAAAGACAGGAAAATCTGGAAAATTTGATAACTTGAGAAGAAAAATTAGATGAAGAGTTAGGTGAAGGAAAAGAGAATTCCATTTTTGGAGTACATAGATGAGACCACTAAACATACTTACTGCCATAAAGTAATTGACATTCCCCCAGCATTATTTTTTGTATTTAAATACATATATACACACATCACTTTTATAGTATGATCAAATTACACTTCAAAAACATTTAAAAAATCAAGTGGATTTACTTTTTGTAAACATTATTATTCATAGTAATACCAATTTTGTCTCTGTATTACCTAGTTGTAGGCAAGTCTTCTATTACTGTTATATTACTATACGTCCTCCTTACCCCTCTCCTGAACTACTTTTAACAAGATAATGACTTTGATTTCAATAAGAAATAATCAAGTGGATAATTTTTTAGTTTTGTGTTGTTGTTGCTGCTTCAGGCACTTTACCTGATTCTTTAGATCCAATTTGGGACATGGGCGACCTCCATTGTAAGGTTTTTCTTTTAGCCATTTGGACCGAATTCGCACTCCAATTCCACAAGATGAACTGCAAGACCCCCAACTAGACCAGTCACTTAACTTGCAGTCGAATGGGCATGGGATGACACATTCTTCTTGAATATAACCTGAAAGAAATAGATTTAAGTGAAGGAAGGAAAGTCTGTTCAAACTGTACCAATAAAATTTACTTTATATTTCCATTATTACAGCTCACATTGTTCCACAATATCACTGCAATGGCTTCAGTGGTTTACTACTCAAAAAAAAAAAAAAAAAAAAAACAAAAAACAAAAAACAAAAAAACAGACCATGGTNAAAAAAAAAAAAAAAAAAACAAAAAACAAAAAACAAAAAAACAGACCATGGTTTTAAGAGAGATACATACAGTTACACCTGCATTCCAAAGTTGTGCCATCTAACACTTGATAGGCAATTCTGGGAGGGAAGAGTCAAGAAAGGTTCACAGTCCTGCTTTCTGTTTTGAAGCAATAAAGTAGTTCAGGGGTAATAATGACACCATCTCCCCTCACTGAGTCTTGTGTTCTACAATTCTCACAACTCCCCATCTGGGATCAGGGTGCATAAGAAAGTCCATTTTTCTTAGTGGCTTTCATCAGCGAAGCTTTCACTAAGAGAGCTCCTGGTTCTCACTTCCTGGTAGTGTGGCTTAGAGGCAGGAGGAGGACACAGAGTGGATCACAAATTAGCAAGAGCAGGATATTATTTCAAGAGGAACTATAGGAACAAAAGGTTGCATGATAAGATTAGACTGTAATCAAGAGACTTGGGTGGAAATGCACAGGCAGATGTTCTAGTTTACCTGGCCTTGCTCTTGTCCCCAGCCCACTTCTTGCTACAGTCTTTCTCTGGTTGATCTCATTATTGAACTATCACCTCTACTGATCACTACCAAACATATATTTCCAATCTAATTTCCCTACTAACTTTATAAGACCTACTGATCCACTCTAATTGGGTGCCTAATTATCTCTAAATTCAACATATCTAAAATTGAGGCCATCAATTTCCTTGAAAACTATGCTCATTCTCTTGTATTATTCATCTTAACTAAGTGCAACATATCTGATCCCTGTACTCTGGTGTGCACGCCTGTATAATTTCGTCGCTTTAAATGTGGGCAGGACCTGTGAATGTAACAGGATGCCACTACCATTATTAGGCTATGGTATGTGGCAAAAAGGAAGAGAATTCACTGGTAATATTAATACCTCAAATTAGTTGTTTTTGAGATGATCAAAAAGGAGATTGAGAGTTTGGCCCAATACGTGGCTTAAGATGACCCTGAACACACCTTATCCATGGACACACCAAATTTACACCTATTTATATAGCAATTCCTCCTGAAGAACTGTGGGCTGACTGAACAACTTCTGCACAACCAAAGAGAGAACAGGTATAAAATGGGAAGAGAGATGGCAACATGGTAACTGAAGAAACCCCCACACCCAACACTGTTAAACTACAGTTGGAAAGGATAGTAGTGAGGGACCACAGCAGGTTTGTCTACCAGAGGCACAGAAAAAAACAAACCAAACCATGGTTTAAAAGAGCAACTAGAATAAACAGGAGCCAGCTATAGATCCCTGACAAACAGAGCTCCTGGAATGCTCTCCAGGTTGGAGGGGCTGGAGAGCATCACTATTTACATTTCCCCTCCATCCTGACAGCATAGATAGGAGCAGGGTCTAGGCATCCTAGCCACCCTGCCACCTCAGCAACCCACTGGGCATCTGACCCACAACAGCCCCTCAAAATAGGCCACAGTTTAAAAGAGCACCTTGGGTGTCTCAGTCGTTTAAGTGTCCAATTTCAGCTTAGGTCATGATCTCACAGCTCGTGAGTTCAAGCCCTGTATTGGGCTCAGTGCTGAGAGCTCAGAGCCTAGAGCCTGCTTCTGATTCTGCTTTCCCCTCTCTTTCTCTGCTCCTCCCCTGCTCATGCTCTGTCTCCCTGTCTCAGAAATAAACAAACATTAAGAAAGTTTTTTAAAGCGCAACAAGAATATAAAGGATCCAGGCCTAGAACTCTGCTAAACAGTGGGAGAGCTGCTGGAACTCTTTCTAAGTCAGAGGGCCTGTTGAATGTCACAGTTTATGTTCTCCCTCTATCTCAGTAATGTGGACAAAACATAGGGTCTAGGCACCATAGCTTGTCTACTGCTTCAGTGAGACCCTTACCCCTAAACAACACTAGTGCCAGCCAGCTATCCCACCAAGGAGGCCCAAGGGTAGTCCATACTGAGACATACCTGGTTAGCACTCACTGCAGCTCTAGCCATCTTACCAAGGTGACGTATGCACAAAGCACCCTAGAACACTCCAGGTCTGCACCACTTAGGCTCCAGAAAACTTGGGAGGGCAACCCCTATGTGGAGTGGTTGGGAACACCTGGCCTTGCGTGCCTCAGCTCCAGCCACTCTTCCAGGATTCCTGGGTGTGGAATACCCTGGGACACAAAACCCATGCCTACAAATGCTTTCGGCACCCTGCCAGGGTGCCCCTTTGTGCAGAGTGCCCTAGAACACCTAAGCCTGCATCCACTTCAGCTTCAATTATCTTGCCAGGGCAGCGCCAGCACAGAGAGCCCCAGGACCCCCAGCCCACAACAAGCAGAGCTCCATCCATCTGGCCAAATTCATCAGACATACCTCTAGTTCAGTTGAATAGCTCTTCTGCCTCATTGATACAAATGAAAACAAACTCAAGTAAAATGGGGAGACAGAAGAATATGCAACAATGAAAAAAAAAACAGAAAGAAACCACAAAAAATAAACAAAATGACATGGAAATGAGCAATATACTTGATAAAGAGTTCAAAGTAATGGTCATAAAGATGCTCACCAGGCTAGAGAAAACAATGGATGAGCTCAGTGAGAACTTCAAGAGATAGAAAACATAAATGCTGGGAGCCACACTGGCCTTGCTGGATGACAGTCACAATGAGGAAATGGCAACATTTGCACAGCTCTTGCCATGAGAAATGGAGAAGTGGTATCTCCTTCTGCTACTTAACTGGCTCATGTTGGAAATGAGCCTGCTGGTATTGACCAGGCCTCACAATATTCCAAATCAGACCGATATTCCCCACACAAATACCTCATAAGGAAAAGCATATTCCTGCCTCTTCAAATGAGATTTTATTTATTTATTTATTTATTTATTTTTTTAATGTTTTATTTATTTCTAGGAGAGAGAGAGAGAGACAGCGTGAGCAGGAGAGGGTCAGAGAGAGAGAGAGTCACAGACTGAAACAGGCTCCAGGCTCTGAGCTGGCAGTCAGCACAGAGCCCGACGCAGGGCCCAAACCCACGAACCGCGAGATCATGACCTAAGCAAAAGTCGGACACTTAACCGACTAAGCCACCCAGGCGCCCCTCAAATGAGATTTTAGATGAAAGCACTGTGGATATTTGTCAAAAGGCTCTTCCTATGGGCCTTGTAGATCCAAGACTTAGATAATAAAGGAGGTTAAGAACACAAGAGTTACAATTGAGCCTGGCCCTGAGACAAAGAGCCCAATTTAGAGTTAAGGAACAGATAAGGGCAGAACTTAAGTTAATATTTATACCTTTTGTAGCCAGTGATGTATGACAGTCCCTTCCCTAAGGCCTACTTTCCACAAACACCCTCCCTTACACTGGTGGCTGGGATGAGAATAGACAAGAGTAGCTAAAACATAACCCAAAAACAAAGGCTAACACATTTAGGGCCTCCATGGTGTTTACACATTCAGCATCAAGTCAAAAAATTTCCACAAACAACTTACTAACCAGCTCAAAAATATTTGTCCTCTTATAAGCCAGTCAAAATGACTCCCAGCCTATCTATACACTTAACCTATGTCCTAATCCTAGCATTATTAATTTAGAACAAATATGTATGTCATCCTGTTTTTCCCTAAGAACATCCTGTTATTTCCTTAGTTGTAAGATTTACTCAACCTCACTATGATTGGGGTAATTCTGTAAGAATACTTCTGAAAAACCTGTTCTTGTACACTTTTGAAAGCATATTATCACAAAGAGTTTTCCATTGTAAAAATTCCTTTTTCTGATCTCATGTTGCCATTGGACCTTTAAATAAAGACACCAAAACCAACAGGGCAGACATGCCTGCCTGGTGATCAAAAAAATCTCAGGGCTCTCTCACTCTCTCTCGCTGACACCGTCCATCCTTCAGGGACCCCTGGACCGGCTGGAACGGGCCTCCAGTACATAAAAAAAAAAAAACCAGAGTTGAAGAATACAATAACTTAAATGAAAAATATAGTAAAGGGCATCAACAGAGAATTAGCGGATGCAGAAAAATGGTTCAATGATCTAGAAAACCAGGTAATGAAAAGTGGCCAATCTGGACAGCAAAAAGACACAAGAAAAAAAATGAGGAAAGATTAAGGGATCTTTTTAGACAATACCATGCAAATAAACATTTGCATTATATGGAGTCCCATAAGGAGAAATGAGAATAAAAGGGGCAGAAAACTTATTTGAAGAAGTAATAGCTGAAAATTTCCCTAATCTGGGGAAGAGACATCCAGGTTCAGGAAGCACAAAAGTTATCAAACAAGATGAACTCAAGGAGGTCCACATCACAATACATAATAGTGAAAATCGCAAAGATTAAAGATTAAGAGAATTTTAAAAGCACCAAGAAAGAAGCAACTGTTACAGTGGAATCCTCGTAAGGTATCAGTTGATTTATTAGCAGGAACTTAACAGGCCAAAAAAGAGTGGCATGGTATATTCAAAGTGCTGCAATGAAACAAACAAACCAAAATCTATAACCAGGTACACTCTATCCAAGAAGGTCATCATTTAGAATTAAAAGAGAGAGTTTTCCAAACAAATCAAAAGGCACTAAATTTGCCTTAAAAATGTTAAGGTAACTTCTTCAATTGGAGAACAAAAGGCCATAAAAGAAACAAAGATGTAAAATATGACAATACATACATGAGATATGGAGGGGAAAGTAAAAATGTCCTTTTAGAATGTGTTCAAGCTTAAGTGACCACAAACTTAATATAGACTGCTATATATTTAGGATGTCATGGTAACCACAAACCCAAAACCTATAATAGATAAACAAAAAATAATAGACAAACATAG